AAACACTCAAGATGGGTTTGGTGCACACAGGGATAAAAAGTACCCCATGTGTACAATGAAATATACTGCTGTATTTTTTATGTTGTGGGCCTATATTTCTGCTGGAGGTCCTGGACATCTTTTTTAGACACATGGCATAATTGATTCTATCAAATACCAACAGATAAAAAATCAAAAAGTGATGGACTCTGAAAAAAAAAGGACTCTGTTAGAAATCTTATAATGGGCCATATTTGGATCTTCCAACTGGACAATAATCTAAAAACAAACCTTAAAAACAACACAAGAATGGGTCACTGGGCACAAAACCAAGATTCTGCTATGGCCATTCCAGTTCCCTGACCTGCACCTTATAGAAAATGAGTGGGGTGAACTGAAGAGGAGAAGCACCGTCATGGAGCTGGGAATCTGAAAGATCTGGAGTGATTCTGGATGAAGGAATGGTCCCTGATCTCTTGTCAGGTGTTCTCTAACCTCATCAGGCATTATAGGAGAACACTCCTATACTGTTTTGGCAAATGGAGGTTTCAAAAAGTATTGAATAAAAGGGTACCGTTAATTGTGTCCAATGTGCATTAAAGAAATAATTAATTTTATTTCATAATGATATTTCCCCCCTTTTTAAATTCTTATTCTCTAAATAAAAGGTTAGATTTTTGTGAATTTTTTGAATAAAAGATCAAAAAGATTAACAATGCAGATTCATTTTCATAGCCTTCTTTGATCATATTTACCAAAGGTACCAACAATTCTGACCAAGTGTGTAGTAACTTTTATAATGGCTGTTGTTGTTTATGTAAGCAATAAGGTACAAGAGGCCATGATGTATTGTGAATAAGTCACGGCTGAAGGCACATAAAATGTATTTCCTTTGCCTTATTTGGCAGTGGAATGTATTAGTTGCCGACCATATTTTCTCAGTGGAAGGTATGAAGAAGAATTGTTTGCACTTTATGAGTGCTTTTGGGTAACAGCTGACACCTTGAGTAAGACATTTTCTAATATATTTGTTATTACACATAATATCCATGATATTAATACCTCCAATAACAAGATTTGGAATTTGTCGGACAGCTGAATTATAACGGAGATGTATTTTCACAAGGTAAAGCAATTTAGGGGAAATGCTTTTCACAACCAAATTTTAATCTCTACAGGAAGATTCAATCCCTGAGAAAGAAAGAAATTGCTGATATGTATAAATCTCACCGTTAGTATTCAATAAGTCTGAAATAATTATAATTCCCTTATCAAACCATTCTTTTTTAAATATACTCTTGTTTTTAGACAACACAAATTGGTTATTCCATAGTATGCATGAATGTGGAGAAAAATTATGTTTAAAGGCTATTTTCCATGCTTCTAGTGATTGCTTATGAAAGTTAGATGATTTTATGGGAAGTTTACTGTATTTGAATTCACACGATAGTAGAAAGGATAACCCACCACACTTTTAAAAAACAAATTGGGTATATAAAACCATATAGATTTACTCTGGGCCAAGAAATGTTTAATCCAATTGATTAAAAAAAAATAATATTAAGAGTGCTAAAATCAAGGACATTAAGCCCACCCTCTGAAAAAGTTATAATAATAGTTTTTCTTTTCACATATTCAGTTCTGCTTTTCCAAATAAACTTAAATAAAGCCCTGTCAATATCTGAGCACATTTTAGGGTTGACATACAAAGACAGAGCAGGATAAACCAGTCTCGAAATTCCCTCAGCCTTGGAGAGCAGAACACGCCCATGGATAGTCAGATTCCTCTGAGACCAGCAATTAAAAACTGTTTTTGCTTTAAGTAAACATTTAGAAAAATTAGATTCAATTCTTTCAGATGAACATTTATTAATTATAATATCAAGATATCTAACTAGTAATATCTAATAATCAAATAATATCTAGTTTTACCTTAATTCCACATACATCTGATATATCAGAATGATGAATTGTCATAATCTCAGATTTAGTCTGGTTAACAGAAAGGCCAGAGGCATGCGAAAACAGTTTTAAAGCTTCTAATATAATAGGGACCT